AGAGAGAGAGAGAGAGAGAGAGAGAGAGAGAGAGAGAGAGAGAGAGAGAGAGAGAGAGAGAGAGAGAGAGAGAGAGAGAGAGAGAGAGAGAGAGAGAGAGAGAGAGAGGAGAGAGAGAGAGAGAGAGAGAGAGATGAGAGAGAGAGAGAGAGAGAGAGAGAGAGAGAGAGAGAGAGAGAGAGAGAGAGAGAGAGAGAGAGAGAGAGAGGAGAGAGAGAGAGAGAGAGAGAGAGAGAGAGAGAGAGAGAGAGAGAGAGAGAGAGAGAGAGAAAGTATTGATGTGATAATAACAACGTTGGAATCGTTCAGAGCTGTTCTAATAGACGTCCGACATATCTGCACTCACGTAGCATCTGTAACTCACATTACCTTGCACATTGTGCGATAGCGCTACAGTTTTGAGGGTCGTCACAAACAGTGCAAGAGTTGCAGTCATTACGTTGTTTTGCGCGAACCGTAAGTTAAAACCCGGTCATAAGGAAAACAACAGCATTTCTTTGTGCCAGGACAATGGTGTTGAAACAAGCATTGTGATGGTTCCAATTCGCTTCAATGGAGATAGTCTGCTGATACCAGCTGACCTCATTGCAGGTCAGTGCATTGTGGTAAAAACTGAATGGGCTTCTACATTTGTATGTACTGAAAGATAACAGGACCTGACGAAACCTTGTTTGTTTAAAGAATTGTCCAACATTCAAATGTTGTATTCTGCTCTGTTACTGCAATTTTCATCTAAGTAAAAAGGTATTATTAGTTCATCGTTTGATTGTGTCATAAAGCATCATGACTGCATCTTCCGACGGACCGTCATTCAGGAGAGAGAACCACAAGACGCCGTCAGCAGCGAAGTGCGAACATGACCTAAGCACATGGCGTCCTCGGGACACCGCCTGATTTTGGCGGCAATCGCGGCAAATTGGTGGCAATCGCGAACAAATTAAGCGCCCGTCATTTCTTTTTTAAGAACACAGCGTAGCCAATGAGGTGTTGTGTTTTACGTGATTTTTCATGCCTGAATATATATTTTGGATGAATAATGGCATGTGCTGAATAAACATGGCATGCGCGAGTAAAACTGGACAAAGCTAGGGAAAAAGTTTAGCTCTTGAAAATGATATGGACGTGGATATAAGAACCGGATCTAAACGGTAGCTGTCTTAATTGAAAACTAAATACAAAAAGATGAGACACTCTCTTCAACCGGCCTGAACCGATGAACGTCCCAATGAGAATGGGAAATGTTAATAGGAGGTGGCATATGGCTCATATCACGTGCACCACTTATGACTTGCTGAGCGTACACAAAACACGCATAACATAGTCAGCGAACGATAGCGAGCAGCCATCCGGGCAGTGACGAACATTGGTTTGTTTAGACTTGCGAACTCGATTCCTAACTTAACTGCACGCATGGCTTTATTCCTCGCCTGAAGCCCCTGACGCGTTACCGTTACTTGTTTTCTACACGCATGATAGCAAGACGTGACTGAGTCGTCCACCAGAAATAGTGACGATATCCTACAGGCTACATTTTCTCATCGTTCCTCAGTACGGGTCAGTACCTAATGCTCTAACATGTTCAGACAACTCATGAACTAAGATGCGCGTTGCTTTACACCCGCCCGCGTTTTGGTGAGAAGTATGAATGCAGCTGGTGGCAATTCGTCCAAAGAAACCTTTGTTATCTTTGAGAGTGATCCGGTCTGATATGATCAAGTAGGTATGTATTGTTTTGCGACGTTTTGTATTAAGCGTGCGTCTGTGACTCTATGGAAAGCAGTTTACTGCATATTGGTATGTCAAGGCTGCAAAACGCCGCGAAGCTATTTTAATCACATTCACTCTACACATCATGCATGCTGTTTATTAGTATCTGCACCCTGTTGAGCTTGGAAACATGTCTGAGCAATGTCACATAGCGCGCTGAACCCATAGTTTCAACATACGCCATTTCTTTTTTCACTGAAATACAGCGGGGAAAACGGAGGAAATCATAAAGCCTGTGGCATTCTCAATGCTTATGTTTTTAATACCAACCATCTCATTCTGTGTCCCACAATAAGGAAGCGCGGAGCTGTGAGAAATATGGTATAGGCCTGCTCGCTCACATGCTAGAATAATTTTGCTCCAGCGTTGTCGTGATTGTCCGACGTGAGTGTGGGTTTCCTCTCGTTGAGTGATGGGATCGGTGTTGTACAAATGCAACGCTAGGTCAGTGCTAACTCGATATAAGCGTCGTGCTTCTACACGGCGTTCATGACGTCACGTGATATATCTGCCAGTATTTTACACTGGCGTAAAACTAGCACATTTGATTGAACAGCTCTTGCGGTATTCCTTAAGCTTTTAGCGATATAAGATTGCGCAATATTCCCGCTGTCTGCGCTGCGTTCCGATCCCATCTCGCTTGTCATGTGGTGCCAAATGTAGTTTGCTGACGGCCATGTGTCATATAAATGTGGTTATTCTTAGGAAGCAAGCACCTTCCACACCGCATCAATGTCGCTCAAAGGGTTGTGACACATAGTTGGGCCCTGGCGGCAAGTTCACAGCAAGTCTACGAAATGCACGGGACAATCGATGCATTGCATGCTGTAATAGTTTGGAGCCAGGTTCCAAACGTGTGCCAAAATGTCCCTGTCGTGAAATGGCACACCGCAGCCTTGGCAGTCTTTGAGTAATTCCGCGCATTTCCTTTATGATTTAATGATTTAAAACTGCTTCAACCGACACCACGCGGCGCTTGGAGCGAAGAGCACAGAAACTGCTCGCGGCTCTGCACTCAGAACGGGCATTGGCTCCGGCTATGCACGCTCCTATAACAGAGCGCGGATACTGGCTCCGGCTCTGTACTCAGCGTCGGTATTGGCTCCGGCTCTGCACTCTCCTGTAACAGAGCGCGGGCATTGGCTCCGGCTCTGTGCGCTTTTCTAACAGAGCGCGGATACTGGCTCCGGGTCTGTACTCAGCGTCAGTATTGGCTCCGGCTCTGCACTCTCCCCTAAAAGAGCCCGGATACTGACTCCGACTCTGTACTCAGCGTCGGTTTCGGCTCCGGCTCTGCTCTCTTCTGCAACAGAGCGCGGGTATTGGTTCTGGCTCTGTACTCAGCGTCGGTATTGGCTCCGGCTCTGCAATCTCCCCTAACAGAGCGCGGATACTGGCTCCGGCTCTGTACTCAGCGCGGGTATTGGTTCCGGCTCTGCACTCTCCGGTAACAGAGCGCGGATACTGGCTCCGGCTCTGTACTCAGCGTCGGTATTGGCTCCGGCTCTGCACTCTCCTTTAACAGAGCGCGGATACTGGCTCCGCCTCTGCACTCTCCTCCAACAGAGCGCGGATACTGGCTACAGCTCTCCACTCTCTAACGATCGCACCTCGCCTATTCTGCGCACGTCTCCGTCCCCCCGCCCGCCGAGGGCGACGGCTCGTGCCACCTGAGCCGCGGGCCCTCTGGTGAGCTGCCGCCAGGGCGCCAGGCTCTGCAGCAGCAGGCGGCCCGCCGCGCTCCGGCGCTAATTCGGTCGAGGCGGAGCGGGCTCGGGCGCTGGGGTATCTTCGCTCGCCACGTGCTCCCAACAACGAACTGATTTGTAGCCGCCGGGCTCGGCGCAGAGGCGGTGCCAGTGACGTTGTCGAGGGGGTTGATTGGTGGCCGCGGGGCTCGGCACAGAGGCGACGCCAGCGACGTTGTCGAGGGGGTTGACTGGTGGCCACCGGGGTCGGCACGGAGGCGGTGCCAGCGACATTGTCGAGGGGATTGATTGGTGGCCGCCGGGGTCGGCGCGGAGGCAGCGCCACTGAGGTAGTCCAGGGTGGCAGTGATTTTAGTTCCGATTCGCCTTCACCGGATCTGGAGGCGTTTTTGCGTGCTGGTGAGATCCACTTCAAACGCACTTTACTGCAGGCTCTAAGCGTTAAGCTATAAAGTTGTGTGTGCGCTATTGGTCTCGAGATGAGTATTATGTGCGACTGGTTCCCTTGTGTGATAATGTGGTCCTGCGTTACTTGGTTCAGTGGTAGTGGGAAATGTGCTCTGAAATGACTTGTGCATTATGAGTTCAGAGTTCTTCCGGTGAGTAATCGTCCCTAAATATGCCAGAAAGTACTGGTCAAACCGTTAAAACATGTTATAGTGCCGACATTGGTGATGCTGACAGTGCTCAGTGTGTCAAGCTGTGTTTATAAGCCGTTGTTGGCAGTGTCGCGCAAGGTTAAACAAGCAATCCCACGTGACAGTCGATGCTTAACAATTACACTTCCGGGTTCCGGTGGCATAATGCCGAAAAACTAAACCTGACGGCCTTTCTTTCTTATGTCAAGAATTATTTAGTGTACACCCTACTAATCTAGTTGCTTGTAACTGGAGCCGCATTTTTTTCGGGTCTGCCAAGGTTGGTAAGCGTCTGACACATCAGAAGTTCTCCGATGTCACAGCGACATCGAACGCTGCCCCAAATACACCTTTGTGAAGCGATGTAAAGCGAAAGACAACGGAGTCACGTACTGCCTGATGTGACGTCGTGGTGAAGATCTTACCTCATTTGACAGTAGTGCGTGGTATTGTAAATTACTGTCAGAAATTATCCGGCATGACAGCTTTGTCAAAGGTTTGGTGATGCGACCATAAGTTGTCCGATGCGACAGCGGCATCAAGTGTTTTCTTAAATGTTACGAAGAATGACGGCCCAGACCACAGGCCATTGTGGTCGGGAAGCAACCCACGTGGTATAGCAATTATCACCTGAACATGGCCTGCTAACGGCCTGCTTTGGTACTCCAGTCATCTTTTGACACCCAGCTAATACGGCCTTGTGACCCGACCAAAGCCTCGCGTTTCACAGCTACCCTGTGTGCCAATGGCAGTTCCAGATTTGATGTGATGCCGACCATGTGACCTTGGCGGGTAACCAGGTCGTCTGGTTTGCCGGCAGGTCGCGTCCAGCTGAGCCGATGCGGGACCTGACCGAACCGGAAGCGTGACCTGACCTGACCTGAGCTGAGCTGAGCTGACCTGCGGCGGGTGATGCATGTTTACGGTTCTGACCGCCACTGGAGAACTCGCAGGAGCGAACCTTTATATCGACGCCATTCTGCACAATGTCACCAGCGTGCTGAAAAACGAGTGCGTTTGGGGACGCGGTTTTGCTATTAAATGGCAGCTGCCAAACCAGGGGATGGTGCTAGGTCGTCGTGCGCTATTCTCGTCTCTTGTGAAGGAGAGTTAGAAGGCTTTGTTTCACAGATCATCGATGCATTGAAAACACACCTGCTACGTTGTCAGTGCTGTGCTTTCCCACTACTTCTTCATAATACTTAACTTCAAACTTTGTCGAGCATTGCTTATTCTCACACTGGCTATAATTGCATTTGTCTGTGTATTCTGGATCTCTGTAATGCAAACTGACATTGATATCGTCGATTCTCAGTGGAGAGGAGTTCCTCTCAATTCCCGACCACTCGATTGGAAGCGTACATCTGCACCAGGGCCAGATCTCGGGGCTCGACACCTTGCGGCGAAAAGGTCAAGCTCGAATGCATAGCGACAGTGATGGCGCCACCATAGAGGCCAAGCTTGCGCTGGAGCAAGTCCGCCTCTGCTACGACTATTCCGCTAAGGTGAGCTGACGTCGGGGTACAGCTGTGGCATAAAAGCATGGAGAGTGTGGACAAGGCTATGGTAGATTTAAACAATACTGGTGCGTGTGCAACGTGATCTGAAATAGCCTCGTGCGGGGGGGGGGGGGGGGTGCCAACAATTTTTGATGGAGATGGGGACTAATATCGGCCAGCGCAGTTACTTACTTTGAAATTCAAAATTTATCCGGGGACGAAGCAAATCGTGCTTAAATAGGCACGTAGAATTTCGCATGGCTCAGCTCCGGGGTTTTTCCGAGCCCCGAACACATATGAAGGAAGGATTGCCGTTCCCACGCTGTCGTCGTCATCACTGGGGCTTTACAGCGCCCTCAGCTGCTGTGGCTATACCACCTAGCATGCCTCTCACCGTGGCAGGAAGGGCGGTTACCGCGGTATATCCACAGCTGAGTCCATATCAGACCTGGTGGTCTTTTGGAATATAGCCTGAATCGCATCAAACCTGTTGAGAAGACAGCTGTTTAAATATGTAACAATGCTGGGTTGAAAATGTGTTTTTTATTATCAAAATTCAGTTGAGGCACTAATCGTCATGCCTAGTCTCTGAAGTACGGTAGGTGATGGGTAAGGATGGTATTACATAATGCACTCTCATGAAAGGCACCTGTAGTCAAACTGTATCAAGGTGCGCTGTGAACTGAAAACATACGCAAAATTGCAGGTCTGTATCTAGTTGAGTTCCAAAGCTTTTGTTAAAAAAACGCACACACACGATGGTAGAAGCGGTGATAGCACGTGATGATGTTTGACGGATAACCAAGGTGCGGAAATAGCATTCGTACCTGGGGAATTAAGAATCTTGTATAGAAGCATATGCACTATGATTCAATCTTAGTTTTCACTTTTCCTTTCCCGAATTTTGTTATGTCCGTATGCTGCAGGCACGTGATGATCCCATCACTTCCTAATCCGGCCTTGAACTCCAAGCACGGAAAGCATTGAATGTGCTCGGCCAGTGTAAAGGAAATTAAATCGTCGAACGGTCTCTTGGGAGTCCTAGGAACTATGTGCTGGCTTTGTAACTATGCAGTCGCGCCGATGTGAGGTAACTTCATCATGGTAAAAGTTGGAGATATGAGCCCGTTAGCCATAATCTGTATAAACAATTTTTTTTTGCCTGCAAAAGGGTTGCTAGGGTAGGGGACTGCCCACTCCCTATCTGACGATGGGAACACGTCCCCCTCCCGTCCCCCGATGGCGCCGCACCTGGCCTCATGGTTAAAAGATCACAATCATCGCGCCCATCAGTAATGGTGTTTGTGCTGCGATGTTTTTGGCGCCGCATGAGCCCGAAATACTGCTGTCGACAGCAGAGCGGAAACATTGAAACGACGTCAGCAACTGGCGACGAACACGAAGGCTTCTTGACAGGCAGACCCTGGGGCGGATCCAGCCTGGAGTTGTTTTTTTTTTGGGGGGGGGGGGGCAACCGTTCGTCGCCAGCTGGTTGGTTCAGGTTCCGAGGTTCAGTGCATGGTGCCTCTCGCGAGTACCTAGTAGGGACACCATTCAAAACCGAAAAAAAACACCGAAATGCTTTTGAATCTTAAACAGAATTTAAAAGGAAACAGTTAAAACAGTTTAAATGAAAACAGGCGGTAAGTAGACGAAGCGTTTATGAAGTCCTGGAAATGTTTTTTTCGGGGGGGGGCAAAACATACTTTCAGAGGTTTGGGGGCCATGGCCCCGTGCCCCCCTCCCCCCCCCCCCCCCCCCCCAGGATCCGCCTATGGGCCGACCCTGGGCTACTAGCATACGTTGCGGGAAGGAGAACAAACGTTTTCTTTGTCGATTTTTTCGCTTTGTTGAATTCTGCTCGGCCGCAAGATATTAATTACTGCAGATGAGAAGCAAGCATGGTGTGTGATCTGAACGGGCGTGATGGCTGGGTGGTTGGTGCCCTCGGATGTCACGTGATGGCTGGGTGGTTGGGCGTGATGGCTGGGTGGTTGGTGCCCTCGGATGTGACGTGGAAGCCTGGGCAGGTGTGGTAAAAGTGTTTTTTTTTGTCACCAACCGAATTTCTAAGAACAAAATTGTCGCCAGCAGTGTTACGCAATACCATATGACAAAAACGGAAATGACGTCCATGCATAGCAGAAATATCAGTGACTGGAGAACTTTCGGGGGGCCGGAATGGTCCCTGCATGGCTAGACAGACCCTGTGAGAGCAAGACTCATGCGAGACAAGAGAGGTACTAAGCTGGCTGGTAGCCTTGAGCATTTACTGAACTCCTGAGTGTCCGGTGTGCCTCTGACCGGTCTGAGAATCTATCGAGCAGCCAGGAGGGCTCTGGGGCGATGGAAGGACCGGGCCCTGAAATGTCAGTCAGAGAGTCTCTTGCGAACACCCTAAGGCGATGAAAACCTCTGTTTTTGGCCGGAGACCATCATCAACGAACCGTGGACTCCGTGTCGGTCTGAGTCCTGGGAGCCCATTTCCCAAGAAAGGACCAGACTGGGACCCGCGACTCGCATTGGTTGTGACCCCTGCAACAATGAGGCCCGTACGCCGGTCAGTTGCCCACAGTGCCTAACGGAGGGTTCTGTGTTGGTAAGGGTCTTTTGGAGTGCTTATGCTCTCTCCTATAATGCTGGCTTTAAGGAAATGTTCCGCCATTGAATATATTGAAACAAGCATAAGATGTAATGAAATCTGCTAGCTTCGTGATGATGAAATCAGCTAAGTGTTGATATATTCTTAGGTGGAAAAGACTGCTCTAGATGACAACATTTTTCTATTTTAGTAAATATGCTGATCAATACGTCATTGTTTGGTTGCGTTTCGGAGCGTTTGTGTAACGTTGAGGTGCTACTGAACCAGTCGTGAGAGACTGCCGCACCAGCACTCACATGTAGTATTTTAGCTCGCCGAAAGATGGCAGTGGAGGTGCTTAAGTGTTAAGTGTGTGAAAGTGTTCGTTGAGCCAAATATCGTATAAGGCTAAACGTGTACGGAGCACAAAACTCTCCTCGTGTTTTGTGGAGGGCCAAGAATATTAAGACATTCTGAAATGTTGAAACGGAATCCGAGGGCTAGCTGGCATTTCCGAAATATTCGCTCCTCTTTTCCGATCACCATTTTGCGATTTGACAGTTGTGTGTTTTTTGGTTCTGAAAGGAGAAACTCCTCGGCTCCGCACTTTGTCTTCAGCACAATAGCCTGCTGCTTCGTTTCTCCTATGATAAATATTGACTAGGGCTCGCCTCCCCCTTACGAATATTTTGGCTGGGCTCTTGTTTCACCCGTTGGTCGAATGGGGGTTGGGGGGGGGGGGGGTGAATGTTGGTGATGCCGCATTGTTGCATAAAATTACCGCCTGAGCAGTCTGACTTCACGTGCCTTGCAAATATTGCGGCAGCTTTTCTGAAAATTTGTATGCTGATTAGTGCTGAAAATGGCATTGCAATGTGATGCGTGTTTGCAAAGTTCCCCCATCAGAAGCGTGAATGGGTGAGCCGGGCCGAGCCAGGTCGCCGAAGCTACACATTTTCCGGTCATTTGACTCGAAGACTCACTGGCCGGCGGTCACACTCCCAACAACCGCCAACTCCTACATCTCCTATCGCTTCGCCCATCGCACGCCGCAGACGGCGCCTCACTTTATGTATATATTAATGTACGTAGCTGGTCGCCAATGGAGCATTGCTTCACTTAAGGTCAGCGTTAAACCGCATCATAGCGTGCAATGCCTCTTTAGCATAGAAGTGCGTGCAACAATATATGAGAGATGGTTATAAATATGAAATGTTCGGCATACTTCATTGCCTCAGATTTGAATGCTTGTCATGAAAACTCGACGAACAGCATGAAGCCGACACAGCGCGTGAAGGTGGTATACTTGCGCGTTGGAACAGCCCATGACAGTAGTGCCAGTGAATTATAGTGACTTGTTTGCCTGCTGAAAGCGTTTAACAGGAAGCAAAGCCGACAAGAAATAGTATTTGCTGTGGGTTCTTACAATCAGAATGTTGGCAACGTATCTATCAATTGTAGTTTATGCATGAAGGGAGCAGACACAGCAGAAAAAACGTTACAAATTTATTTTCGGGACGCGGAGAAAACATAAACCGGTGACATAAATTCTCACACAACAATAAAAGCACAACAATGGTGAAAACACCATGTTTACAGTGCGCCCTGGCTCACACACTGCGCCAGTACTTAGTGGTAATGAGCTTTGCACCGAAAAAAAGTGTTTCACAAGTGCACCGATGACATTTTTGAACGTTGTCTATGTGCGCTAATGTGCTGACCGTTCGCACTTTGAGGCCAAGTCTTTACAGCCATGCTTGATAATTTAGAACAGCTGGCAGAAGTGAAACCTTACCATCGGCTTTCGGAGAAGACACCGTATCTGCTTAGAATGGCAAACAAAAGTACTGGTATGTGTATGCGTGGAAGTTAATCAAAAATGACCGCAGAGTAAAAGCACGTTGAAGTTTTTCGGAGTGTCTGTGAATGTTCGTCTCTGATCTCTAGCTTTGTTCCGGTGCTGGCACAGTGCCCTGTGAAGAAGGAGCGTGGCTTTTCTGGGCTGAGCGCGGAACCGTCTGGGAGCTAGCTAACCACCCCCTGTACGGGGCCAAGAAGTGCTTGTGCCACATCATTTTCCGCCACACAAACTGTTGAAGGATACCCAGCAGCTGTGTATTATCTAGCCGAAGAAAGGCTGCAAGTCGGAAGAGAAGCTTACACAAAATCTACGCCTGTCAGCCACCCAACTTATTCGGTGATTAAGCCTTCAAAGCCTGGCATTATCTTATGCCGTACGCTAAACGCACGGCCCACAAAGCTCACCGACCTACATGGGAGACGCGTGTGGCCTTGAACTGACTGCAGGGTACAATGCCACGCCCCTCGATTACCTAATAAGAAGCCCCTGAGGCCTGGGGGTCGGTTGCGCAGCGCGGCTCAGAGGCGGAGCAAGTCATTCAGCGAGGGGCGCCCGCTCTTAGTC